TGGCAGAATCTTTGGCATATTTTCAGTTCCAAACACTAGAGAGAACAAGGTTGGATGCTAGGGTTTGCACACACACTTGGATTTTGAAGATTTGAAGCTTGTGGTAAAGGATTTATTACCCATTTATGTTTATTTCTTCATTTCCTTGCTTTGTATTGAATATTTAAGTGTGTAGTATTTACTTCCAACACTTGAATCTTGTTTATGAAAATATTCATAATTAAAGTGTGGATTAAATACCTTGTTGTGCTTATGTATTGAATAATTTTCATTTATTTATGAAGTGAGTTGTTGTTTCTTTAATTATTCTTGTTCTTTAATGTTTCCAAAGGGATTAGCTAACCGTAGGACTCGCACATTAACTCCGAATTAATTTTGGAAAAGATAATTTGGAGTTGGGAAAGATTAATTAACAAGAACTTGAGGCGTTAACCCTCATTTTATAGATTCTACCTAGGAATAGGATTGAACTACTTGTATCCATATCCGGGTGTGCTTAATCTCCTAATTGTTTTAGGGATAATTCAATTAGGAAGTCTTGTTAGTCTTTGGAAGAAGCTAATTAAGAATTATTATCCGTGGCTAATTAACATAAACTCGCTCATATTTGTTAAATCATAAAATACATTGGATCGTTACTTGAGTGTGATTCCCGATGCATTCATTCTTGTAGCCATTGATCATTTTACTTGCTTTCTAGGTTAGTTTAAATTAGTTACAACTATTGTCTAAACCAAAATCTAAGTGTTTGGCATTGCATAACAAGTGATAATTTTCTTACATTCCTAATCGCCTGCGTATTGTTCTCTATGGGATTCGAACCCCACTCATAGTTGGGTAAATTATATTGCATGCGATCGTGTCCATTTACTTTTTAGTAGTGGATTTGAACGCCATCAAAGGGAAATTCCAATATAGTACAAAATACATTAGTTACATAGATATGGGGATGGGACAGCTGAATGATGCCCTGATTTGGGTTCAGAACAACCCACTAGACATTGGGCGATGAAATATTGATTTCATTTCATTGAATTTTAAAGATATGAGGGTTTACATTATAATTTAAAAGACAATAAACTAAAAACATTCGAGTTACACCCTGAAATAACTCGACATGTAGAAAAAATGGCATGACTGAAACTACCAGATTCCTTCCGAACTGGGAACGGAGTAGCCTTCCAATTTGGAAGCTTGGCATTCGGCCCCACATATTGCACCTCAGCGGTGCTTGAGCCTTCACCCAGCTGCACCATATGAGCCTCATATAATATCTGCCTCATCGCTCCACAAATGTCCTCAATTTCCTCGGCCGTGAAGGCCTCATCTTCTTCCTCTATGTATCTAGGCTTGACAAATGTCTTGGAGAGATGCGGGACCGGCTGAGGCAAGGCCTACCCATTCTTTTTACGATCATTAGCCCATGTCACGTCAGCTTCTGTGGCATGGAAACCCACACTGAAGAATTTCTCACTAGCAGTTAGAGTGAAGGGTTCTTTGATGCCTTGCAAAGATGCCCCAAGCCCTTTCCCAGGCTTGTACCCGTGCTTGATCATTTCAGTGGCGACCATGATGGACGCATTTGACAAGAAAGGTAGAGGACACGGGGTTCCGCGACTACAATCTCAAAAGCTTGGTAGACTATGTGCTTGCTACCTTCCTTGGCCTCCAGACATGGAACTGACGGGTCCCTATAGATTAATTGCTCATCTTCTCCATGGACAACGATTTCTTGGTCTTCGTGTTCAAACTTAACCATCTGGTGAAGGGTAGAAGGTACGGCTCCTGCAGCTTGGATCCAAGGCCTTCCTAGGAGAAAATTGTAGGAGGTATCCATGTCAAAAACCTGAAATGTCACTTCAAAATCCACAGGACCGATAGTTAGGATCAAATCAATCTCCCCTATGGTATCTCTCTTGACGCCATCAAAAGCACGTACACAAAAAGTCGGATTTTATCTAAAGCTGGCCCACATTGGGCTTACATTAGGCGGGCCCAGTTGTGGTTATCTACTAGCTGGGCCTATCTACCTCTATGTTCTAAGCTAAAACTTACATAATACAAGCTTGTCAAAACCAAATCACTTCAAATAGGAAAATTGGAATCTGAAACAAAATGCAACCCAAATTTGAAGATTAACTTTCACTATTACTGAGTTTGTTTCTCATTTTTTAAACAAAAGCAGGCGTGTCTTGAAGTTCAATGATAAGTAGAAGAAAATCATTACAGTAAATTCTACTCGCATTCAAAAGCACAAAATAACCGAATCATGTAATTAGAGTAATCATATGGCATGAATATTATGACTAGAATAGGTAATTAATGTTGTCCAGTTCCTCATGTTTATCAAAGAATCCAATTGTAAACAATCTACATTGTCAAATTTACAACCTGGGTTTCCAAACTAATGAAAGCGCAAATTTTAACACTAAAATTCATGATTACAATCTTTACTGGAATCAAAAATAGGAATAAGGAATTGTGCTGTAATTAGTTTATCTATGACAACATGCAGCTGTAACCACAAAAGGGTCATCTTTTCATTCAAGCTTGCATATCATCACGGAGTTCAATTTTCCTTTGACTTCAATTAACAACCTGCTCAAATAATGGTTAGGCATGTAAGCTACCAACACACAAGACAATAATAGCTTCCTCTTATCCCACATTACGACATGTCATTGCATTTTTATCAGGTTCAGGCTAAGCAATCGCAATATTCAAATATGTAATGGAAGACAAAATCACATTTAAGACATGGCTGAAAACAGATTCACACTAATATCAATTCCAAAATGAACATGTTCTCATATGATTCTAGTGATGAACACATAAACAGAATGGTGATGAATACCTGGACAGCAGTGATAAAACTTAAAAAAATGCAGCCAAATAGAGACCAGAAACAAGCTTTGAATTGATATTCAGCTACTAATTGAAGCAGAGCCAACAACAAACAGTAGAAAATCCCAATCGAATCCTTTAGAAAACACTTGAAAGATAGATCTTGACAACCCGAATGAAATTACAACTAAAAAATAGAACTCAGCAGCAGCTTTCAGCAGTAAATCCCAGAAAGAAATCTTCACATTCAAATAATTTTTAAATTATGAGAATCAGAAAATCCCAGAGAAATTCTTTACACCTTTTTCTTTTTTTTTTTGCTAAAAGAAGAAATCAGCTACTAATGAAATAATAGCTAAACCTTTAGAGTATTTTTAGGTTTTTTTTTTTGTAATCTGATTTTTTTTATTTTCAGAATAGAGTAGCCTATATATAGGCTGCCTAGGGAGGGTATATTTTAGGATTATTCCTTATCCTAAAGTCTGAAAATAATACAGTGCAACTGTCCTCCTTATCCTATTTTCAACATCTTTTGTAACAACTAGGACAACTATACCATTTCTAGAAACTTCTTCTTTTTTTACAGCCTTTTTATTTATGAAAAATTACTGTTTTTACCCCCAAAAAATTTTGTTTTTAATGCCTTTCTTATTTGATTTTGATATTTAACTCCATTCTAGAAGTTTCTTGAGCTGTTACAGCCAAGATTCTTCACCTAGAATTTCTAAAATACCCTAAGACAAACTTGAAATCACCCTTTATTGTTCAGGGCTAAGTTACTTAATTATGGACCAAATCAGAACTCAATTAACAACTCAGAATTGAACCTACATAAATAAACCCTAATCATGCATGCCTACTATAATGGTAAAAATCAGTAATTAATCAATTGTCTATGAAAACCTAGGCTAACAACTCAAAATTAATCAACAAAACTCAGGAATTATCTGAAAACCTAATTAACATATCTGAATCAAACAATGAAACCAGAAATTAAACCTAGGTCATTAATTCAGATAGTGCTAAAATGTATGACTAAACTAATAAGTGAAAAATGGTTAATAAATAATTAATCGACTATTTCAAAGGAGAAAATAATCAAAGAAAAACCTAAACTAAGAATCAAAGTCACAAATAAATCAGCAATTAGACCTAAAGAATCATCTACAAGAGGAAATAAGGTCAGGGGAAGTATCTAAATCTGACCGTAAGAAATTGGCTGGACTTGGTTGACCTCGCCGGAGTTTGACCGGATTCTGGCAGGTTTGAAAACAAATCAAACCCACATGAATCAATTGCTCGTGTCAAGAGCAATTGACTCGTGTAGGTTTGAGCCATTAAATCCTTCGGATTCACTCAGTGTAGACTTTTTAGGGTTTCAGATTTTTCGATCTGAAATTGCTTGATTTTGAAAGGTTTTGGGAAAACTAGTGAGATATTAGGGGTAAGGGGAGTGAGGAGATGGTCTGGTGAAGTTTTGGGTTGATTTGGAGGAACTAGGGTTTTTAGGTTCCGATTTTAGATCTAAAATTTGAGAAATTGGTTGAAGGTTTGAGGGAAATGGTTTGGGGATTTGGAAAGGGGAGAGAAAGGAGATCACAAGGTGTAAATTTGGTGGAGTTTGGGGTGTCGCCGCCGTCGTGGGGCAATTTCTGGTGGCGGAATACGGCGGAGCCGGTGTGGGAATTGAGGCGGCTAGGGTTTGGCTTATTCAGATGAGGGAGACGAACTGACACTACTAAAAAATAGACCTATGGCAACACCTTAATAACCGTCACAATAGATAGGTAAACCGTTGCCATAGACCTATTAGAACGGTTTAGGGGTCCGTCCTAGTGGTTTGTGTCGCAATAGGTCTATTTTAACCGTTGCACAAACGGTTAAAAAACCGTCGTGTTATCAACCTACATACGTTTGTTGAGTCTATAGCAACGGTTTTTAGAGGCTATTGCAACGATTTTTTGAGGTTGTTGCTACAATATTTGGTGCTAATGCAACGCCTTTTTTAGACTACTGCAACGCATTGAGTATCTATTATAACAATTGTTAGAGGCTACTGCAATGGTTTATAGGATCTATGGCAACGATATAATAAAGCAATGACGAATTTATTACTATATAATAAAATATTCGATTCTAGATCATTGGAATGTATCTAAATCACGAAATGAGACTAGTAATCAACATAGTTATCCAAAATATTCAACTAACATCATCCACATAAAAGCAAAATAGCTAAATAACGTATCGTTTAACAATTCAAAGTTAGCATAGATAAGTTTGCAAAAAATTCTAAATTAGAATGATCCTAGAACTTATGAAGCTCTAACAGAACTAAGGCCCTCAAGTAAGGTCTTTACTGCTTTCATCATCTACCTCTTGTTCATTTGTTCCACCTACAAGGATGATAAATAAACGATTAAGTAAAATATTTACAAAAGATATATATTCTCAATATATAGACACACACTAATGTCAAGACACATCGTAAGTTAAATCTTAACTTTTCTTATCATTTCAATTAGTAAGATGGAGAAATTACTACTGTGAAATGAAACTTCAAAGGCAATCAAATTGACCATCCGAAGTGTAAAAGGAAGAGAGGTCAATCACAGAACTAGAGGAATATACAAATTTACCTAGCAAAAAATCCAAAGACTTAAGAACAAGCAGATAACTTTTTTGCTACATTATGTATAGTTTAATACAATTGTGTTCCTCACAACTAGATGTCAATCCCTGTAGGAAGTTCTACAAAATTCCCTACTGTGGAAAAGGACTTTTGACCATCAAGAGGGAACATACAGTCTTTTAACTACCAAAAAACAATTCTTAACTTTTTGCTTACCTGCAACATAGATAGTTGCAAGGTCTTTCTATTCTTAAGTAACGTGCTAAAATCATGACATGGAAAATGAAAGAGAAACAGAAGAAAAAGAAATGCTGCAACAATATTTTCTTTCCCTTTTAAACTAAAAAAATATAAATGATCTCAAGCTACTCTAAAAAGAACAGTCTATACGGAGAGAATAAATGAACTCCTAATTTTGCTAACCAACAATTAGCTGCCACAGTGAGATACAACTCACATTGGTTGAGTAGGCAGTTTCCAAAACTGATGAATAGAGCCGAAAATAAAGGCCAGGAACCAATCAGATGCCCAAGGCATATTCAAACCCACTCAAACAATATATTTAAGAAAACTACACATTCCTTGATACTAAACTCAAATCTACCACATAACTCAACATAAAGCAAAATGTGAACTCTAAAGGTTCCTGAAAGAGTACATTGAGTGAACAACACTACAGTGAAATCCAAAGAGGTCCCCATGACCTGAATGACTAGATTAAGTGAACAACACTAAAACCAAATACAAGATAAGTCCTAAATGGATCCTAGGAAACTCAAGTGATATGCCTATATAATTTCTATATAAAAATGTTATCAGTCCACCAAGTATGAACACTAGCTAGTAGAATCTGACATTTTCAATTATTAATGAGGTAAAACATCAGATCTTTCTTCATGTATATTAACTTAACAAGTAGTAGCCTTTTCATTTAGGTCCTACAGACTAAAACTGGCAGGAGTGATCCTCAAACAGTAAGCTCCAGTTACCGCGTGTGTGTCGATGTTTTAAGTAAATACCTGAAATGCGCTGACCTTGATTAGTTGAATTGCTGCTTGTGGTGCAGAGTGATCGCACAATGGTTGCTATAATGTTAGGATCAAGTGTTAATCCTGAACGTTGAAGTTTTCCGATGACATCTTCGACAACTTCTTGACGTATAGTTATATTTTGTTGTTCAATTTTTTCCTCCATTTTTTGCATCCAATCTTCCATCTTTTGGAGATCATTGTAGAATTTTGAGATAGTTCAAAATATCCCACTTTCTCTTTCGAAGAATTTCTTGTAACCCCTCGTCCATACAACCTCAAGCGTCCTGGATGTTCAGGTCCCATTTCAAATGCAAATGTATTAACAGATTCATTGCCATTATCGGTTTGTTGCATTTCAGTTTCATCCATTTCGGCCTACAAGTAAATAAAAAGTAAGTCGATTAATAAAAATAAATAAGTGCTGAAAATAAAATAATAATAAGATGAAAATTCTGATTCTCAATATTTTTTTGATAGTATCTTCATCTGAGTCTTTGTATGATCGCCCGGGTTTCCTTTTTCTTGTAGCCACAAAGATATGCTTAAGAGATAGGGGATCCGAAGTATCCCTTGTTTTTTCCTAGTTACATAAAGTGGATATAAAAAATCTTCTTAAAAATATAAGTTCGTATTTAACAATAAATAAGAAAATACACCAATTCGTTGCGAATTATAGCGAAGCTTGTTTTTCCAGCAGTATGTGAATTCTTCAACTTTTTTCGGTCTCAGTATTAATCTCGGACGTTTTCTACAAAACAGTAATGTCAAATTATATTGTAAAGAATGATTTACGTAGAAGCCCAAAGTAGTAAGACTTACTTTGACTTTTTCATCATTCCAATGCTCAAGGAGACTCTTAAATTGGAATGTTGGAACACCTTCAAGCCTATTTTCCACTTGAATTTCATCATTTGCATAGGTTTCAAAGTGATCCTTTTTCAATCGACTCTTTTGTTTTCTTCAGGCTGCTTGAACTGTTGCCAATAATCCATTTTTTTGCTGCATCAGGAATATCATACTTCTCCTACAATTTGATAGAAATATATTAATGCAGAAAAAGTGAATATTTTCAACCAAAATTAAAATTTGACAACTTCCTACCTCGGTATATGCCCACAGATCCTCTTTTGTGTCCATTTTCCTCCAATATATAAATAGGACAAAGGGCCGCATTCCTTGCCAATGTGCCGAGGAAGCTTCCCAACTCATTCTTTGTCAAGAAAATCGTTCAATCCACGGATGTACTCCGCCGTTGATCTTCGGAGATCCATCCAACTTTTATCTCCATTATCCATTAACTATTGAATATCCTATATAACACCAAAGTAAATCACGAAGCTAAGAAGCAGAAGAAAAGAAACAATGTCTTGCATTGGATACTCATTTTCCTATACTTAGAATTCATGCAGATTTATTTTACTTATTAAGATGAATGGTAGATAGAACATATTTTGAGCAATACTACAAAGTATGATATTGCAGAGAATTGAAACACAACAACACAACCATACAACACTATAGCACCACAAAATTTAACAAAGATGAATTTTCATCCTGACTTGACTGAATGAACTATAGAATGAAGACAAATTAGTCTATTACCTATTTTATCTGGTATACACAACACAACAGAGCAACAATGACCTAAGTCATCTCATTATACCTAGCTATTCATAGCACCCGGGTTTTGAATCACACGGTAAATCCATTTTCTTCTCAAAGCATAGTTTGTACATACAGCAGATTAACTAAACGTAACAACTTTGATTATCACATTATAAAATTAGGTCAACTGAGCATCAAAGAAAGCAGATTTTAATTTAACATGTAATCCAATAACAGAAACATCGAAAGCTCCCCTAGACAAGTTATCAACTTGAGGATTTCGTAATCAATGATCAAGAAAAGAGATTAACAGCCAGATCAAGTTAAACTCATAAACTGTAATTACTTATTCATAGCACCATTTTGCTCAATTTATGACAAAATTAATCACAAAACAAAGAATTTTGCAACATTATATGTAGTAGAAAATGGAAGCAAAATTTCAGAAAGATACCTAGAAACTGAATGAATTGAATTTCTGACAGTGCACAAACACAGTTCAAGAACTATTCAAATATAACTTATAATTACTTCTCAATTCTCATTATTCAGCCATTAAGGCTAATGATGAAAGACAAACACAGTTCAAGAGACTATTCAAAGAGGCCACTTAAGATTATAATTAAATTAAAAAATTACAGATTGAAAAACTAGTGATGGCTCAAAGCTTCTGGAATAAATAAAAGAAGTAATCAAATTGTAACTTTTCCCCAAATAACGAGATTAAATGAAACCTTACTGTTCAAGAGATGTAATAGCAAATAAATAAGAATATACCTCCAATGTTCTATGAAGGAATTGTCTTCAAACAAAAAGGCCACAACTAAATATAAAAAATGCAGAAACACATCTCACACCTACAGGTCTGAGCAAATCAATTAAGAATCCAAACCATACACTCCAACCCACCAAAAATTAATTATACAACATAAATATGGGTGTAGTCTTCCAAAACTTAAAGCTTAAAACTTTTGATAGAAATATACCAGTAACAATATTCAAGAAAAATTATCACACCCACGAGAAATGTTTGCCCACATCGAATAGCAGCCCAAAATTAAAAATAAAGAAATAGACCCATATTTCTACTTATTTTTATTTCAAATGTTCAACAAGACTATCCATAAAACTAAAACAAAATGCAAGAAATCAATAACCAAGATTGAATTTTTAGATGCTTTTTAGGGCTTAAAGAATGAAATTGCTACGACAATCACAATTGATGGTGAGGAGAAAGAAGTAAAAAGAGCAAAAAATTAAAAAAATGGTGACCAACCGTAAGGGGAAACCTGCAAAATACACCCTCACGTCGGCCAGAGTTGTGTGGGATTTCTCAGTGGGTTCTCTAGTTAGAGCTTAGCAATGTGAAAGAAGGAGATGAGACCAAAATAAAATAGGGGTTTTAGTCGATGTAGTGGGCTCACATATTATTTTAGGGTTTTAAAAAATAATAAAAACAAGAGATGTGGCGGGTTCATTAAATTGGAGGGGGGAAAATAAGAAGCGTCCCAATAGCTTCTTTTTTCAGATAACCGACACCATAGAGGAACCTGCTGTGACGAATACAACAAGCTATAATAGGGAATACTATTGTGACGGTTATATCTCTATTGTGACGGTTCATTTTTGTATTTGTTCCAACAGCACTGGGATGATTATGTAACGGTTTTAATTGTCGCCATAGATATCTAATGTAACGGTTTTATAACCGTTGCCAGTGAACCGTCCCAACAAGACAAATTTCTAGTAGTGTGAGGGGTGTATGGGGGGGGGGGGGGGGGTTAGGTCTCGTTCTGACACTCTTATAGTAAATAGATGGCCAGTTCCGGGCCGTTGGATCACAATGGTCCAACAGTTGTGTCACGACCCAATTTCCAACCCGGTCGTGATGGCGCCTCTCGTGAAGACAAGGCCAGCCAACTAACCCAAATCGTCTCTTTAACAATTATTAAACATAAATGAATAGATAAATATAGCTTAACGACAATAATAACCAGTATTTACAACCCAACACAACCCGACCGGGGTGTCACAAGTCACGAGCATCTAAAGAAGTCTGAACACGACTACAGGGTCAATAATATACAAAATAAACTGGAATCAAAAGACGAAGTCCGGTGCCGCGAACGCTGGCGGTCACCTTGCTCAGCTACAATGGTAATACCTTCGTTTAGCTAATAACCCGCTACCGGGCACAGCACTCCACAAATAATTAACACCAGGGCGTCTGGTACCCGGTGCAAGAATTAGCATGAATGCTAATGAAATGAGAGTGCTAAATGTCATGACACGTAATACAAACAGGAACCAATGCATGAGTGCAATGCAATGCATATGACTGCTGCGGCGTGCAGCCCGATCCATTTGGGTACCCGCGCTCACTGTGGGGGTTCAGACTCCGGAGGGGCTCCTACAGCCCAAGCGCAATATCAATATAACACCGCTGCGGCATGCAGCCCGAGCCATCCATATATCCAGAAATCACTATAACACTGCTGCGGCGCGCAGCCCGATCCATGCTCAGTCCAGAAATGCACATAAGCCCCTTGGGCAATAATAAAATAGCAGTTTTCAGTTCAAAACGTCAGTAAAATATCATTTAAGTTTTCAAATCATGAAAAATGGCTGAATTTGCAAAACAATATTAAAACACTGGACCGAGATCAAATAACATGCAAAGTAATGCAAAAACAGTGATATCAATCCCTGAAGGATTCAAATAATCAGCACGAAGCCCAAAACATGGCAGTCAGCCCAAATCATGATGATAACAAGTAGTTTCAGTCACATACGTAGTAATTTTATCAATCGGAGCGGACCAAGTCACAATCCCCAACGGTGCTCTACCCCACGCTCATATCCGGCGTGCAAGTCACCTCAATACAGCGCTATGATGTGCAAATCCGGGGTTTCAAACCCTCAGGATATCATTTACAAGTATTACTCACCTCGAACCGGCGAAATCCCTAGCTCGCGATGCCTTTGCCCCTCAATTGGCCTCCACGCGCGTCGAATCTAACCAAAACCAGAGCGAATACATCACAATATTCCAAGGGAACAATACCCAATCGAAAACAATCAAAATATAGCAAAAATCTCGAAACTAATAAAATCCGAGCCCCGGGCGCACTTCTCGAAAAATTACGAAATTCACATCACCGGGATCCTCGTCTCGCCACGAGTTCATACATACCAAGAACTCCCAAATCCGAGCTCAAATGACCTGTCAAATCCCAAATTGAAATATCAAAAACTCAAGCCCTAGTCCATCAATTTTAGGCTTAATTCCCTGAATTTCTAGGTTAATTTCACATAATAGACATGTTTTTAACTCAAAAATCTTACCTTCAATAAACTCCAGTCGAAACCCTCTTCAATTGCTCCCAAAAAGCTCTCAAGATGCTCAACAATGGAGGAAAATAATACCTAGCTCGCGGAGGAAATATTTAATAATCAGCCCGGCACTTTCGCTTATGCGGTCCCCATCCCGCTTCTGCGGGACCGCTTCCGCGCTATTCCTTCCGCTTCTGCGGAAAACCCACTCTCGAACCAAACCGCTTCTGCGGTCACAACATCGCATAAGCGATTCCGCTTTTGCGGCCTCACCAACGCTTCTGCGGAACCAGGCGCCCAGGCCTCCTCACCGCTTCTGCGGTCAACCCACTCGCTTAAGCAGGTCCGCTTCTGCGGTCCAAGACTCGCAGAAGCGAGAATACCAGATATCAACAACATTTGAAGTCTCCAAATCCAAATTTCATCCCGCTAGCCATCCGAAATCACCCCGAGGCCCCCCGGGACCTCAACCAAAAGCACCAACATGCCTTAAAACATTATCCAAACTTGTTCCAATCATCACAACACATCAAACAACACTAAAATCATCAATTCTCATCGGATTCAAGCCTAAGTTCTTTTAAAATTTCCGAAATCCGCATTCGATCAAAAACCCAACTAAACGACGTCCGAATGACCTGAAATTTTGCACACACATCACAAATCACATATCGAAGCTACAGCAACTCTCGGAGTTCCATTCCGACCCTCGGATCAAAATCTCACCTATCAACCGGAATTCGCCAAAATACTAACTTCGCCAATTCAAGCCTAATTCTACACCGGACCTCCAAAATCAATTCCGATCGCACTCCTAAGTCACAAATCATCCCCTGAAGCTAACCAAATCACCGGAAATCACATCCGAGCCCTCTAACTCAACTAAGTCAACATACGTTGACTTTTCCTANCATTGATTTCCTTAAGTTACAACATTTCTACCCTGCTCAACTAGTTCAGTTCAAGCAAGTAAAGACATTTATTAAGACTAAGTAACAATAAAGCATATAATTTTGGACAAAGATGTATGAAGGAGTTAAATTCACCCATTTTTTCTTGTCTAATCTATGGCAACTCATTCATGCAGTTATAGTAGTTACTAACAGAAGATGGTGCCTTTGGTCTGTCATTTTGTATGGTTTATCTTCATGAATTTAATTTCGTTGAGTGGGTGAAATTCATTGTTCCTGAATGCACAAATTGTAAATATATATGCTCCAAGTAGTAGGTGGTCTTTATGGTTGTTCAAACTTCTAATCCTATTTAGTGTTTAAATTGCAGATGCAACTAAAGATTAAATAAATTCCCTAAATTATATCAGAATTTGAAATGTTGGGCTCGTGCTATGCACAGGCAAACCTCATCTAGAATTACATCATAATGGACAAAACAAAGTACACTACCACTCCTAGCATAAGATATATATGTATACAACTCTTTTTTTTTATACGTGCTATAGCTAGTATTTTATATGTGTATTCTAATAAAATATGTCAAAATAAAAAAAAGAGGTCATTTCAGTTTTTAGGGGGAACAACTCATGATAATGACCAGAGAGCGGATCTAGGATTTAAGTTTTATCGATTTCTATGGTGATGTCAAGTTAATAACTAGGTTCACAATTAATATTTAGTTATTCGGAGCCAGCAATTGGCTGTAGGATTTCGTCCCGCAACTAGAAGAAGATCACTTCGGGGTCATTGCGGTATGGCTGAATGTAGAGCAGTATGCCTTACAGCCTTTGATCAGTAGACTATTTAAAACTTCGAATAAATGTTTAATGAATTTTTTAAATGTATGTGCCAAAGTTACTATATTTTCGAAAACCCGTATCTTAACCTCTAGATCCGCCACTGATCACGACATGATTGAAGAGAGTATAAAAAATTGTAATAAGGAGAGAATGGAATAAGTACATATCAACCCTTTCTTTTTCAAACAAGATTATATATGTCCTCTTTATGCATGACATAACATTTCAACTGGCGCGGTGCAACAGAATATTCATAGAGAGAGAAACTCTCTCCCCTCTCTCTACATTTCCTACCTCTACCTCCATTTTCATGGAAGCTGTCTCACTATACACTCACCAACCTCCCAAATCTCACCCAAACCACCCGATATACAGCAATATTATGAATAAATTAATTCGCATAATCCTTCATCTAGTAGGGGAAACCAATTGATTGGTGCAGAGAATCCCCTCCCACCAATTATGTTGGATACTATACCCTACCTCAAGGTTCTCCATATAAGGAAGCACTTCTATTGGACATTATTATCGTCCAGATTACTCAAAATCCCATGCAACCACGAACCACTCAATTTTTTCCCATGCAACTAGACTATAATTCCTATGGTCTGCCTAGCCATATGGCCACTCCACAAAACACCATAGAATCAAATGATAACCTACAAGTTTTTCTTTCAGTAGGTGATCTTCAAAGGATATACCAACCATGGAAATACTCTCTCATTATTAAGCTCATGGGAAAAAGTATCCTCCACCAATATCTCAAAAGAAAGATATACCAACTGTGGAAGCCAAACGAGAACTTCACGCTAATGGATCTAGGGGCTGATTATTTCATAGTAAAATTCTCCGAGGAGAATATGTCCAGAGACAAGGTTTTTTCACTAAGTAAATTACAAACACACACAACAGATTTAATAAAATACTCAATAAGAACTAAGTAAGGACGGGATAATTAGCATATAATTTGCCTTGCCTTTGAGATTAATATATTCTCTGCTTTTTTTTTTTTAATTAAAAAACTATAATTCAATTCCTAGAGCCCATATCAAGAGACTCCAAATGCCAAAGGAATAGAAGTTACCCTTAATTTGGACCAGAAAACCACCGCCATAAACATGGCAATTACCTTACCAACATGCTTAGATAACAAGCACCATCTTTTGCAGCCACCCTTTCATTATTTTCAGTTGACGGTTACAATCTTTTCTGTTTACTTCATTTGACGGTTCCAGTCTTTTCTGTTTATGTAAGAGTTCTTCTTCTTCCTCCATCGAAAAATCTCGATAAAAGAGAGGTTGCTAACCAAGAAAACTAGCCTAGAGGTCTTATAAATTGGTGATGTTTTTATGAAGACAAAATAAGAGTGAGGTAATGACTTAAGTA